ATATATATAAACATAAACTACTACTTACTACTTTTATTGTTTTTCTCTATATATATAAACATAAACTACTACTTACTACTTTTATTACTATCCCTACTTCGCACTTTTTCACTTCAGGGTATGGATCTCCCGTGATAAACGAGGGACTACTGTATAGAAAACTCTAAAGGGTTCACAAACTTTCAAGCACCACTGTATGCAATATTTATGGGTGACAACACACCATGGGCTGCCAACACGACACAATGTGTGACAATGTTGTGTCTGGAGTCTCTAATGAGCTAACAATTGGTGCTCATAACAGACAGGACTGCTTTCATTGTTGGGTTCTTGATGAATGGGACTGCAGATCATAATGTTTGGTGTTACTGAGTGTCACACTTAGACTGGAGAAACTCGAGCATGATTTCAGAGGAAAATCAAATATTATTTGTAATGCCATGTTTCCTCCCACAATCCAAACACATTCAGTTGCAGAGTGAAGCACTCCATGATCTGCCTTGATCGGAGCATGGATGAGCATAGAAGCATGTGCCCTTTAAAGTAATAGTAGTTACTAATAAACATAACTTCAGCTCTCACAACACTGAGACATGGTTTACCTGCACATAGAAATTATGTTTAAACAAACTAGAAGACATATTAGTTAACTGTTACATTCAGTTTTTATTTACTGTTTTGCTACAATTTGCTTTTACTTAAAATGTAGTTATCTTTTGCCTTCACCTAAGCTTATGCTAAGTTTAGCTTTTAGCTTTAATTTGGCTAAGTTTAGCTTTTAGCTACAGTTTTACTAAATGTAGCATTTATTTATAATTTTGTTGATCCTAGCTTTTAGACAAAGTTGTACTAATTGTAGCAGTTAGCAATGATTTAGCTAATACTTGTTTTTAGCAAAATTTTTAGATAGATAGATAGATAGATAGATAGATAGATAGATAGATAGATAGATAGATAGATAGATAGATAGATAGATAGATAGATAGACTGATTAATTCATGAAATAATTTAAAAAAAAGAATCAGAATACACAAATTTGGAAATAGACAATATTCACTTGCACCAAGGTGGTAGTACTACATTCATGATTAATCTTTATATGTGCATTCAAACATACACATATACATACATGTATATTGACATACATAATTATAGCTTTAACTATTGTTTTTGCTGATTTCAGCTTATGTTCGGCTTGTTTTAATGTAAATAATTCACTTAACATTTCATTCTTCAACATATTTCAGCAAACTCATTGCGCACTCATCATGCACTTTTCATTTTCACAGAAAATGCTATTTCTCTTATGATGCATGTACATTTCGGAGACTGCTGTGTCACTGGCCAACTCGTTAACCATGAAACCTCCGAGAGAATTTGCTGGCCTTTTAGCCTAAAATAATAATAAACACACATCTGTTCCTGCGACCCTGAGTGGTCAGCGGAGAGGAATGACTGCTGGAGCGTGAACTTCCTGTCCTCATAGCTGAGAAAATACACATAATGTAAATAAACTTAACCCAGTGTTATCATAAAACCAGCAGTGTCTGAAGTTGGGTTGCAACATTACATGTAAAAATACTTTACATTTAATGTTTTAGCACAACCTAGTGATGTGTATTTTGTGTTCTTACCCTTTGTTGGAAAACATTCCTGCGTGAAGTGGTTTTAAAGAAGCTGTGTCTCACTTTTAAAGATGTGGAGGAGCCTCACGCTCTCGCTAATGGTATCCTTGGCACTGGGTGCAGAGGTGAGTACAGCTTAAAATGATGTTTCCTTTCAAGAGGATAATGCGCCTCGAATAGCTCGTAGGACTTTGTGGCAGTGCGGCGTAATGAACGTTCTCTCTCCAGGTTTCCCAGTCTGAGGATGTAGAGTTGTTGGCAACGGTAGAAACGATGGAGGAGATGCAGGAGAACTTCAGCGATATATCCGGACTACCGAGGGACGCAAGACGTCAGATCTTGGCGGCCCAGTTTGAGTGCTACCTGAGGATGATCACAGATCCACCTCGAACAGAAGAAGGTGAGAATATTAGATATGTAATGTACTTCAAAATGTTACTTTTTCACAAGCATGACAGGCTCCTTTGAAATGAACCAATTAAACGCTTATTCCTTAAAGGAATGCGTATCACTTGCTGCCTTTCATGCCAAAGTTCAAGTCTAAGATCATCTTGTGATGAGAGAGGACTGAGTTTTAGCTGTTTTGGTCAAACTTTAACAAATAATGTTACAGGCGATCTCGTACAATATCTGTTAGAGCTTGAATTGTGTGTTGAGAATGGCACTCAGCTACTACCACACCAAATTTTATATATATCTGTAAAATTAATTGAGTTTTAGCCATTTTTTGTGCTTGCTAAGGTCGATTAGCGGTGGCTGCCATCTTGAATGTAGTTTACTCTAAACGTTAATGAGTTGGAGATTTACATCCAATGATACCTTGTTTATGAGATAGTTAGCTGACAAACAGTTGTGTTGTCTAATAGTTCATTGAGCATTTTATGGATAAAAATGGGCATACTCATATTTTACGATGCATTGTATATAATTTCTTTTACATCTAATCGACTTTTATTTGTCCTTGGTGTCCGTGAAAAGGACAATAGCAAATTTTTAAAAACAGATCTTGTGCAGTCAGTCAATTTCTCAAGGTAAGTATTAGAGGTGATGCTCAACTACTACCACAACAAATTTGAGCTCGGTAGTTGTACATTTGACTCAGTTATGCCCGTTTTTGTCTTTACTAGTGTTGATTAGCAGTAATTGTGGAGGCCATCTGAAATTGACTTGACAAAAAAAAAAGTTTTAGTAGCTCATGCAGTGATTTTATTGCGAATTCAATTCAGTTTATTTATATAGCGCCAAGTCTCAAGAGAATTTATCTCAGGGCACTGGACAAAAACATTCACATACATTGTAAATGCCAGTTAGTAAAGTTATCCATCTAAGGAAGGGAGGAGATCAGCAGAAGCGTTGAGTCTTCATCTCATCACAGTCTCTCATCCTGAGCAAGCACAACGGCAATGGTGGAAAGGAAAAACTCCCTTTTAACAGGAAGAAACCTCCAGCAGAACCAGGCTCAGGACAAGTGGCCATCTGCTTCGACCAGTTAGATTTGAGAGGACAGGAAGGAGAAACAGACACAGAGTGGCAGGTCCAGAGTGGAGGTGAGCAGGTCCTCACTATAGGAAAGATCAAAAGAAAAACACTTTGAGATAGAAACAATTACAAATACAAATTATTCATTTGTATTCATTAATAACTATTCATTTGATGAAATGAGGTCAATTTGTCATCCAGTGGTATAAGCCTATAGCAGCATAACTAAGAGAAACCCTCAGGAAACCCAAGCCGACCCTAACTATAGGATTTATCAAAAATGAAAGACTTGAGTCAAGTTTTAAAACTGGACAATGTGTCAATCTCATGGACAGAAACTGGAATTTGGTTCCACATGAGAGGAGCCTGAGAACTGAAAGTGCTGCTTCCCATTTTGCTTTTGGAAACTCTAGGAACCGCGAGTAAACCTGCAGTCTGAATGGCAGTCTGTTGTGAGCACTTCAATGAAATTTGTCCACTGATGCATGAGATATTTTGTTCACACGAATAAGACTACATCTTCCTTCCACCTTACTTTCAGAAAACGCTGCAAGGCCAGTTGGTTTCTTTGAAAAATGTTATTAAATTAAAAAATGTTTTGCCGTAGAGCCGTTATCAAGATCAGCATTCACAAACAGCCTTATCAAAACAGGCAGCCAACTCTAAATTTGACAGGATTACTAATTTAAATTATCCATTAAACAATGGTGAGTTATATTTAAATAAACTGCATCTCACTATGGCTTGCTCTAACAGAATTTATCAACAATGGACGGAAACCTGCCGGTACCCCGTCCCGCACAGCGGCATGCTGGGAAATGCTGCACAAAATAACATTTCAAAGGCAATGGATGGGAGTAGAGTGCACTGAGAAAGAGACAAAGGGCGAGTTTCCTGTCTTTCAGATTGACTTCCTCTTCAGCGTTTTCTCACTTTCTTGCTTTTTATGGACGCAACAAAGAAACGAGTCCAGTAGTAAATGAATATTAAGCGCTGGTGTTGATGCTTAATTTTTAAACTAAGATCATTTTTCATGATGAAAGTTGGCAGAGCTGAGCCTCAGCTCAAAACATTTTGCAAGACCTTCGCTTAAAGCTTTGGTATTAAATGATGGCTTGTTTGTCTGTTAGCAAAATATTTCATAAACCACTAGACAGATTTCAGTGGAACCATCAGAAAGTCAGTCTTAGTTGTGCAACTACAACTTTGGAGTCCATCCAATTTAAGATGGTCGTCAGAGATAACTGAACTAAAACTAAAGAGAAATAACTATACCTCAGGTGATTTCACACATATTGAGCTACAATTCAATGTGGTAGTAGCTGAGAGTCATCCAAAGCACATATTCAAGTGCTTACAGTACAATGGAGATGGCGCATTACAAATTCTCTTAATCAAAAACGTCTCTGTGCATTTTTTTACGTTATAGTTTCCAGTAGGAATGATTACACCTCCACCCCCATAAATCTTACATCTAACATACAAAGCCCTCAACAACCTAGCTCCATCTTATATTATAGATCCTATTGCTACATATTTACCCAACAAAGCATTTAATTCTCCAACTGCAGGTTTACTTGTGGTTCCTGGAGTTTCCAAAAGCAGAATGGGAGGCAGATCTTTCAGTTATTAGGCTCGTCTCTTGTGGAATCAACTTCCAGCTTCTGTCCATGAGGCTGACACACGGTCTACTTTTAAGATTAGGCTTAAGACTTTGCTTTTTGATAAATCCTTAGGGTTGGCTTGGGTTTCCTCAGCTATCCCTTAGTTATGCTGCTATAGGCTTGGACTGCTGGAGGACAAACTGATCCCATTTCCCCACTCTTCTGCTGTCTTTAACGCTCCACTCTACCTGTTTTGCATTTGTAATTTTTTCTATCCTTAACATGCGTTTTTGTATTTCTTCCAACAGGGGTTCACCTGCACCTACACCTGGACCTGCCCTTCTGTGTTCGTTTGTTTCTCCTTCCTGTTCCTCTCAAACCCCACCCAGTCGCAGCAGATGGCTGCTCGTCCTGAGTCTGGCTCTGCTGGAGGTTTCTTCCTGTTAAAAGGGAGTTTTTCTTTTCCACTGTTGCCTTTGTGCTTGCTCAGGATGGGAGACTTCGACAAAGTGAAGCTTCAACACGTCTGCTGGCTTCCTTCCTTAGATAAATTTTTACTAATTGGCTTTTGTACGTATGTGAATATTTCTGTTCAGCGCTCTGAGACAACTTCTGTTGTGACTTGGCGCTTTATAAATAAACTGAATTGAACTGAAATTAAATGTCATGTCCTCTGTAGGTCCTTACTGTAACCGTACGTGGGACGGCTGGTTGTGTTGGGGAGACTCAGCACCGGGGACTGCGCTGCAGATGTGTCCTACATACTTTGTCGATTTCGACCCCGGTGGTGAGGCTCGAATTTTACAAACACACATTTACAAAAAAAAAGCCTATTTTAATGTAGCTAACACTCGCAGTGCTGTGCGCTTTTCGTTTGCCAAGCGTGTGATGTATATATTTTAACAGAAAAAGTGACCAAAGTGTGTAACCCTGATGGCCAGTGGTTCCACCATCCAGAGAGCAACAGAGTCTGGAGTAATTACACGCTGTGTCAGGCCCACACAAAAGACAAACTCAAGGTAGAATGTCGTGCTGTCAAACTACTGTCGCTCTCGGTTTTAACGTCTCACATCTGAAATTGTTTTGTGTTTTCTGTTAGTTTGGCTGTTTCGACTTAATTTCATTTTGCTCACTCCTGATTTACTTTTACTATCCTCAAGAAAAATTTGGCAGCAAGAAATTCAACAATGAGTTCATTTTTTTTAAAACAATGTGATGCAGCTTCAGGTCAGAACCTAACAGGGTTTTATAACATGCTGACATGTGATACTGAAACGTGAAATGAGTTTGAGCAGTTGAGCGTAACAGTCTAACCTGAGTCCCGACTTTATTATACACAAAAAACTTCAGTCAGCACCAGAGAAGGTAAACTAGAGCTAACAAGCTTGTTCATCCCTGCTTTGTTAAACTTAGTATTCCCCGAAATCCCTGCAGGAAAAAAGCTACGTGACTTCAGTTTGCAGGACTTGATTAGCCTTTGCTGTTTTTTTTTTTTTTGAATAGGGTGCAAAATAGAGTTGGTCTAATGAATATATTTTCAGTTCATCTACATTTAGAGACAAAATACTTTGTATTGTTTTTACGTTTTCTGCTTCTGCTGAGCTTTTCTATCCCTTTAATGTTTAGTTAAATAGATAAAATGAACAATATCCATCCATCTTTACACATTTCTTCTTTTTCGGGTCATGGGGGTCACTGGTGCCCAAATCCAGCAGTCACTGTGGGAGAGGCAGGGGACCCCCGAGACGGTTCAGTCCATAACAGGGACACATAGAGACAAACGAGACAAACACCCATTCACTCTCTCACTCACACCTAGGGACAATTTAGAGTTACCAATCAGCCTAACGTGCATGTTTTTGGTTTGTGGGAGGAAACTGGAGTACCCGGAGAAAACCCACGTATGCACAGAGAGAACATGCAAACTCCACCCAGAAAGGTTCCCAGCTGGAATTTGTACCGGCCATCTTTTAACTAAGAGACAACAGATGTATCAACTGCACCACCGTGCCGCCCAAAATGACCAATAGCAGAGGATATTTTTATTTATCATAATCAAAGATATGTTTTTTTCCTGCAGTTTGCATTGAGTATCTACTACCTGGCGTTGGTGGGTCATGGTCTTTCTATTATCTCCTTGATCATCAGTCTGATCATCTTTTCTTTTCTAAAGTGAGTCAAGAGAGAATTTCTCAGCGTATGCAACAATATTTAGGTATACATTTTCAGAAAACATTTATGTAAATACTTTAAAGCAGCTAAAGGCAGCTGATATTCAAACAGTCCGGAGTTAAATTGATGCCTGCTGATGTATATTTATTTATGTCTGTGTGTTACAGCAGTCTTAGCTGCCAGAGGATCTCCCTCCACAAGAACACGTTCCTGTCCTTCATCTTGAACTCTATCGTCACCATAATGTGGCTTTCAGTCACTGTGGCCAACAACAAAACCATAAGTTCCAGCAACCCTGTGAGCCTTTGTGTTCTGCGTGTTTTCATTATAGTTTACTGGTCTCCTTAAGGCAAAACCTTTCATAGATTTTTGCTTTGCCATACTCAGACTGTAACTACAGTAACTGTGTGAATGCTGAATCAGCATTTACTTTAGTTTTCCTGTTCATAGCCTCTACTGGTTGTTTTCAGTCAAACTATTTCCACATACTTTGTACTACTTTATTCATTCAGACAGCAAAACAGTTTGCCTGGGAATAGTGAACTACGACTAGGCCTGTCACGATAACAAATTTTGCTGGGCGATTAATTGTCTCAGAAATTATTGTGATAAACGATAATATTGTTTGAAATTTGACAATAATTAGTAATTATTGTCAAATTTAAGAAGAAATTGTGGTTAATTTGTTTTGAGTGTAGTACCTTTTTTGACCACTGGATGGCAGTATAAGACTGTTTGATCCCAAGGATGGATAGTGAGGGAGTGAGCAGCGTGTCTCTTTAAGAAAAATGGGAGGGAGGCCTCTTGACGTAACATGGGCTGTCTCTCCTTTTTTTCAGTTCTCAAAATGGCGGACGCTCAGTGTGGTTTGAGCTCTTTAGCATAGCATTTTTCACACAAAACTTTTAATTAAAAAAATCAGTAAACAAGTTCTCAACTTGTTTTTGTAGAGAAAAACAATGTTTTACATGAAAGCACGGGTTTCAACCGTGAATTTTGGAACTTGGACAAGATGGAAGTTTTTTTCCCGAGCTCGGCCTGTTAGCTTAGCTCGTAGCTTAGCTTCTCAGCTTAGCTGCTTTTAACGATCCAAAAACGCGATGTTGGATGGTTAAAATGGATTTTAAAGAGAAAGGGAGGGGTCAGTGATGAGCACGGGAGTCGAGCTTTTTGTCATCCATTGTCTTCGGTAGAAAGAGAGAGACAAAGAAACGATAAAGCCGATAAATGAAAATGAGGTTGATAATTTTCATTTATCGTGCGATTTTTAAATTTTTTTTTCATTTACCCTTTATTTATACAGGTAGTCTCATTGAGCCACAATAACTCATTTTCAAGAGAGACCTGTTTGCGGAGCAGATGGGGGTTAAGGGCCTTGCTCGTGGGTGTGGGTGTGGGTGCTTCACCTACCCCACCCACATTTTTTATGTTGTTGGTACTGGGGCTTGAACCGGCGATCTTCCGATCACAGGCCCACCTTCTCTAACCTCTGCGCCACCACTCCCCCATTGACTGATAAACTGATTTATTGTTTATCGCGACATGCCTAATTACAACTTCTTTTTATTTATTTATTTTTTTAATAAAACACCTTAGAACTACCGAGGTACATTCAATTCCCTCAAAAATATTGTTCTTCTTGAAATCTGATGCAGCAAAGTTCTTCTATATTATCTTCTTAGGTCTCTTTTAGCTTTTTTTGTTCGTTTTGCTACTTTTAGATTCAATTCTGCTACTCTTGTTATGTTTAGTTTATTTATTTGTTTGGTCAGTTTAGCTGCTGCTTTACTCATTTTACTTTTAGTGCTATCATGTTAGCCTCTTTTAAGGGAGTGGCACAGCGGTTAGAGAAGGTGGACCTGTGATCGGAAGATCACCAGTTCAACTCCTTGTACTGACGTCAACATGTGGGTGGGAGGTGAAGCTCCCACACCTGCCTCCACCCTTATTTGCCCCACTCTGGGCCCTTGAGCAAGGCCCTTAACCCTCACCATCTGCTCCCCCAGACGTCCTAGATAGCAGCTCTCTGCTCCACACAGAGGGCTGTGGTAGCTCGGTGATCTGTGGTTGCATCAGGAAGAGCATCCGGCATAAAAATAATTGCCAAGTCTTCGTGCGATTTAGTTTGCTGTGGCAACCCCTGAAGAAGGAAGCAGCCGAAAAAAGAAAAAAAAAAACAACCTCTTTTAGCTAAAGTTTTGGGAATATTAGCATTTATTTTTCTCATCTTATAGCTAACGTTTAGCCAATTTTAGTTCAGGCATGAGTTTGACTACTTTAATTAATTTTAGCATCTGTTTTGTTAACTTTAGTTACTTTTCTGCTGCTTTTACTTTTTCGCTACTTGTCTGGTTTTAGTTTTAGCTTGCCTTCCGCTCATTTTAGCCTCTGTTCAACTTGTTTTAACTTTTACTCAGTTTCAGCTTCTTCAGCTAAATTTTACTGTTTTTCAGCTCTCTAAGTTTATACTTCATTTGCACAAAAAGCAAGTCTATTGCTTTAATCCCTTCTCTCTTCTTATGATTTTCACCTTCAGGTAAGCTGCAAGATTCTGTCTGTTCTGACTCAGTATACGTCTACCTCCAACTATTTCTGGATGCTGTGTGAGGGCATCTACCTCCACACGCTCATCATAGTGGCTGTCTTTGTTGAGGAACAGCAGCTCTTCTGGTACTACATCCTGGGATGGGGTAAATTACATATTTTATAGTCGCTTCAATGGTGTCTTCACATCTCTAAATGTTGAGTGCATGAAAATGAGCTATAAATCCTGTTTCTTACAATAAACAAAATAGAGTTTAATCAAAATGGCAAATTCACACATTAAAAGTCACAAAATTACATTGAATTCTTTTAGTTTTCAAAATTTCAGCACATTTTTTTTTTATTAATGACACATCTAAATGTTTAAAATGATCCACGTTTGCAGCATGTGACTGTATTTTAGCCTGATTTTGCTCCATTTTTTCTCCATAATTCAGCCCAAAGGTGTTCCCTTGACAACTTCATGTCCTTTGATAAATGGGCTTTTCATAAAAAGCTCTCATCCAGGCTTTCTGTGGAGCCACATTCAAAAACAAAACTAAAATTATTCAATGCTTCCAAAAGGCTCTTGTTTTTTATAGCTTTAACTAAAGTATCCCTGAACATAACATGACGCGTGTCTTATATGTTGCTCCTTTGAAATCACTAAAACTCACCTGTGAGCTGGTTTAAGTCACAAGTTTTAAATGTTCACAAATTATGGCCTGAAACCGTCGATGTGTAATTTTATGTAGAGCCAAAACAACCGTCTGATTAAGTCAAAGAAGTAACAAGCTTATTATTGACCTTTGAAGTGTCCTCATTCTGAAGGATTTGTGGTTACCTCTGTTGCTATACACACCTAAATGTGTTCTGGTTGTTTAGTTTTTTGTCTCTGTGGCTCTCTGCAAAGGTTTGAACAGGTATGCCAGGTGTTGCCATGATCAGTTTTCTTTCTCTTCAAAGGTTTCCCCATCGTCCCTGCCGTAACGTATGCAGTCGCTCGTGGGCTCTTCTATAATGATAAGTAAGAACTGTATTTTTAAAGATGATAAATAACATTTACTACTACTGTTATTACTGTTGCCTTGCAGCAAGAGATTTATAGTTTCCCTCCCTCTTTGGTCCTTTTAAGCATTGCTTTACTTGGTCTCCCTGTGGACAGTAAGTGTGGGTTTCCTCCCACAGTTCAAAAACATCCATGCTGGGTTAAATGGCCACTCGAAATTGTCACGTGATTGAGTAAATTGTTGGCGTCATTGTGCTGTGATCTCCAGCTCTCACTGGAGCAGTTTGCAGCTGAGTGTGAAGCGGCTGGGATGAGGATCAGCACCTCCAAATCTGAGGCCATGGTCCTCAGTCGGAAAAGGGTGGATTGCTGTCTTCGGGTCGATGGTGAGGTTCTGCCTCAAGTGGAGGAGTTCAAGTATCTCGGGGTTTTGTTTACGAGTAAGGGAAGAATGGAGCGTGAGATTGACGGATTAGTACAGCGTCTGCAGTATTGTGGGCTCTGTGCTGGTCCGTTGTGGTGAAGAGGGTGCTGAGCTGTAAGGCAAAGCGCTCTGTTTACCAGTCAGTCTACAGGTACATGTCTACCCTCACCTATGGTCACGAGCTCTGGGTAGTGACCGAAAAAACAAGATTGTGGATACAGGCGGTTGAAATGAGTTTCCTCTGCAAGGTGGCTGGACTCTCCCTTAGAGATAGGGTGAGAAGTTCAGTTATCCAAGAGAGACTCTGAGAAGAACCGCTGCTCCTCCACATCGAGAGGAGCCACTTGAGGTGGTTCGGGCATCTGGTAAAGATGATCCCTGGGCGCCTCACTAGGGAGGTGCTTCGGGCATGTCCGATTGCGAGGAGACCCCAGAGAAGACCCTGGACATGCTGGAGAGACTACGTCTCTTATTTGGTCTAGGAACGCCTTGGAGTCCTCCCAGAAGAGCTGGAAGAGGAGTCTGTGGAAAGAGATGTCTGGAGCTCCCTGCTCAAGATGCTGCCCCCAAGACCTGAGTTCAGAACAAGAGGAAGATAATGGATGGATGGATGGATGGATGGATGGATGGATGGATGGATGGATGGATGATACTGATCAGCCCTATTAAGTAATCTTAGTGTGCATTTTTTTGTTCAAGTATAATTTTAGAAACATTTGAATTCTTGGGTCTTTGTGGGAATTCTTCATTTATTATCATCCTCCTAGGTGTGTTTGTGGAAACTCTATAAAAACATATTTGTCATTAGCTTGTTTGCTGTGATTTTAAATGAAAAACAAAAACGATGGTGCATTCAAAGACAAAAGAAAATTCTAAATCTTCATCATGCAGCTGGGAAAAATAATTTTAAAGAAGTCAGTGGTACAAAGTAACGTCTGATGATTATTAACTCCTGTCTTCCTGAAGTGAACAAAGCTATAAAACTGCCCACTGAAAAAATATCTGTGAACTACAAATCAAAACGTTAAGACTGGAAGACTTTTGGCTTTCCTTCTATGAGGTGTAGTGAATCCGTCATGATTAAAAGTTGAAGTTCAAATGGGGTAAAATTGACACATTTGTCTGATTTAAAAATTTAGAGTCAGTATGACAGAAATCTTCCACAAACTTGAACGTCTCATTTAGCTGCTTCAGAAACCCAAAAATATTCCCACAAGATTTATAGCTGCAACCTTCTAGTTCACTAGTTTTGTCCAAAGATGGTGATTGTGTGATGAAGGCTCCTGATCTGGAAAAAGTTGCCTCCATTTAGTGCAGCTGGAGATAACCAACCTGAGACCATGTGCACGACTGTGAGTGACAAGGAACGGTATGCAGAGAAAACCAAACGCTTTAGACAGAATCAACCACAAGAAGGCAAGACATGTTACGTTTAGCCAGCTTTAACAGACTTTACCAAAGCGTTTAAGATGAATTTCATTTTAGAGAACAGTTGAGTTGATCCATGATGCTGAAACGTCAAAAGCTTTAAGGAAATATTTTGAAACCTTTGTCTGTGTGTCATTCAGGTGTTGGATCAGCTCACACACAAACCTCGTCTACATCATTCACGGACCCATCCAAGTTGCACTGCTGGTAAGTTTTATTAAATATGTGTTTTATTTAAAAAGAACAGTTCAGCTTGTATTTAATTAAAACTGAAGATGCAACAAACATAAAGACAACTAAGAATCCAGTTGATACAGTTATAATAATTATAATAATATTGCAGCAAACTTTGCATACGGTGAAATTGAACATATTTTGTTTGCATTAATTTTCATGTTAACTTTAGTTTGTGAAATGTAAATGACTTAAACTGGAACTGAGCTTTTAGGTTCTGAAGAAATTAAATTAATTACACACACACATATATATATATATATGTATATATATATATATATATATATATATATATATATATATAGAGAGAGAGAGAGAGATTTAAATATATGACTTTAGTGCAGCCATCAGTTTGTTGGTACTATTTACTCATATTGCCATCATAGAATTTCTCATAGGTCGGTTTATGTGTAGTGTTTTGTATTTTTATATTCGTCTAAACTTTATATAAAACCATTTATCCTCTTCGGCTGTCCAGGTGAACCTTTTCTTTCTCCTCAACATCGTCCGGGTTCTGATCACCAAGCTGAGGGAGACCCACTGTGCTGAGTCCACAGCCTACATGAAGGCAGTGAGAGCCACCCTGATCCTGATCCCTCTGCTGGGGGTGCCGTTCATCCTCCTACCCTGGAAACCCGAGGGACGCATCAGCCAGACCGTCTACGAATTCTTCATAATCCTCTTCTCCAACTTTCAGGTACCTGCAGGAATAAAAAGTTACTCACTGGACTTTTTTTCACATCAAATGGATACGGACGCTACCACTTTCACTGCTTCATGTATTTTTAAGTAAAGCAGATTCATTTCCATTAAATGTTTTGCTTTTACAAATGTTTAATTTAACGCCTCTTCCTTTGTAGGGACTCCTGGTGGCAATTATTTTCTGTTTCTGCAACGCTGAGGTATGTTGTACTCCAAAACCTACTTCTCATAATTTTACATTAAGGTGTTTATATAATGCAGATTTACAGCTTTATCGTTTTATGTTGGAGGTGCACTGTTTTTGCTAATGCTTATAAAAAACACTTGTTTAAAAATGTGCTTTACCTTTTGCAACGTCGTTTTCATCACTTGCTGCCAAAGGCAACGATCTTTGTGTGTTTTTCTGTAATTTTGGCAAAATATCTCATAAACTACTGGATATATTTTAATGAAACTCTCAGAAATCAATTATTGAATGTACATCTTCAGCTGATTATCTTTTTCAGTCACCCTATTTCAAGTGGCTGCCACAGCTAATTGACATTAGCACACAAAAATGACACTAAATCAACCAATTTTACGAATATTCAGCTAAAACTCTGGCTATAGCAGTGGCGATTTTAGCCTCTTTTTGGGGGGTGCTCAAGCACCCCTAAATTTTAACTCAGCACCCCTGAAAAACTAAGACACCATAATTATGATTTTGTAAGGAAACTCAGTTTTCAACCCTTAAATTCACCAAAATATTGAATAAATTTGAAATAAATATGGACACATTATTACACTTAAACAGGCCAGTAAAATATATTTTTTTGCACGAGTCAGATCCTCGACGCCACCAATCAACCCGGTAGGCTCGTCAGCAATTGTCCCGAAGTGAAATGCCCCTTACCTGCAGGAGCTGGGGGGTGGGAGTTAGGTTGCATGAGAGAAATGGAGCGCTACATCTGTAGCATCTTAGCTAGCATGTCTGTGTAATGCGCTGCAATACAGTTGTCGACCGAGGGTGGAGTGGGGTGTTAGGATGTGTGAGAGAAGCCGAGAGTGCTTTATTCATACACGGAGAGCTGTTGGTCAGGCTACTTCTTGTTGTGCCATTATCTCCACAATAGCTGTTGAATCAAGTGTTTACTTATGTGGGTAAAACTAGATGTTAAGCAACCTGTTAAAATACAGTAGTCCCTCGCTACTTCACGGTTCGACTGACGCAGACTGACTCGCTCTTTCGCAGTTTTTCAAAGTAAGATTGGACACGACACACAATTGGCTGATTGATGGAAGAGCCGCAAGATCGGCATGAATTTTTTAATTTAAAATAAATTATTTTAAATTATTTAGCACCTGCTGCACCTGTGTGCAGCCCACATGTGCAGGGAGAAGCTCCCTCCTACAGCATGTCGATCTCCGCGCTGCAGCAGAACAGTGGGCGTGGCCGAGAGCGCTGGCAGGTGGCAGAGAGCTGATTTTAGGACATGCTGTGCTCTTTTAGAGCATTTAGAGTTTAGAAACACTGTTAAGAATATTGCAAGTGTGGGAAGGATTTATATATAAGATACTAAAATTAACAACTACTTACTACTTGTACTACTATTCCTACTTTGCGGTTTTTCACATATCACGGGTGGACTGAGCACAAAAACCCCCATGATAAACGAGGGACTACTGTACCCCTGAGTGCAGGAAATGGCATCTACTTTATTCAAAAATTTCTTGGGCAGAAACCCCAGACTCCCCACTAAAGTGTCCCCCCACATTACAAATTGTTTTGACGCCAATGGCCACCGCGTTGTTCAAACCAAGAGCCATTGTCAGCACTGGGGGCTGAGCGCCCCTAAAGGGCAAATTCTAGAATCGCCCCTGACTGATTGTCATCCTCAACACATACTTCAAGCCCCAACAGATCAAGTAAGATTTAACAATATTGATTAGGATCATGAATTATGTCATTTACAAGGTTTTACTAAAACATCTATAACTAGAATGTCCTCTTTCATTATAAGGTGATTTTAGTTTAAAAAAAAAAACCCTCTGGCAATAAAGGGTGATATGCATTTCTTCTGTTGCAATTTTAATACCTCCATCTTTAAGGACACCCCTCCTCACCACCACCCCATTGCCATATCTCATCCCAGTCCCAGCACAATGCAAATGTGTTTCATAGTGATGTCATCAAGTTCAGGAAGTAAAACTACTGAAAAGGTGTTTTGTAGGTTTTGCAACAACTATTTTAAAATGTCCTTGTTGCTGATTTTCAGGCACAAACAGCACTCAAGAGGAAGTGGGTTCAGTGGAAGTCCGCCTGGGGTAAAACTGGCTGGGGAGACACACCGATCACCAACAACCACTTCAGCTGTCATACCAACTCGTCCATCATGGAGTCCAGCCGAGCCACCGTCAGCTTGGAGCATCCCTCCGCTGCGTCCACTCTCCAACAAAAAGAAACCAGTCACCTCACATCCCCGATGCAGCACAAAACTGGGCAGGAAAATACCAGCAAGGCGTGCCCCAATGGGCAGGGTGACATTCCCAATATGATGGAGACCACTTACATCTGAATTAGGCCCAAATACACACAAACATCCATTTTTATATATCCTCGTGGGGACACGTATTTCTATAGCTCTTTATCCCGGACCTCAGCTTTCAATTAAAAGCTTATTATTATTGAACAAAAAGTCACATGTCAAAGTGAAAGAAAATGCTCTTTAGTGAAGGCCTAAAATATCATAAAGTCATGTTTCTCTTATAAGTTTTTGCAAGAAAAACTGACAAAAAGTGATTATAAAAGTGACTTTTCATGGCTCTTAAATAGTCTGAGTTTTCACTTCGTTTTAGCGAGTATGACTGTTTTTAATATTCACGTTTTTTAGTGTATTTTTAGTGTCTACTTTCTGGGAACAGAAGCCAGCAGGACTCAGTTTACTGGAGCTGCCGTGTATTTTCAGAAATGGAGTCTGCGCATTAGAAATGTGGGCCTTTAAGCCTCGTCTACTCCCCATGCACACAGAGTCTTTCAATCCTGAAAATCAAATCAACACCTGAATATAATTATCTGAGATGTTTTATTTTATTTTAATTTTTTACACCAAGGGCAGTGTTGGTTAATGTGGAGAGGCTTAAAACTTGTACTGGAACCAGGTAACAAGGAGGCTGGTCCCATTCCGACTTCAGCTCCCAGTATAGTTGGAGAGATTGGATCAATAGTTCACAAACTTTTCAGCTTTCTAACCCAAAATGAAACTCACAGACCTGTGACATCGACTGTTACGAGCTGAAGACAAATATTGCTAATAAGCCATTTAACACGGAGCCTTGTGAACCATTGTATCATTATTTATTCATCTTTTTTTTTGTACTCTATTAATCCCCAATGGGGAAATTAATTATCTGCATTTTCAGCACACGTGAGGCAGTGGGCTGCCATCTAAAGTGCCCGGGGAGCAGCTGGGGGTGCTAAGGGCCTTGCTCAAGGGCCCAGAGTGGGCAGGTGTGGGTGTTTCACCTTTTCCACTCACATTTTGATGTTGATTCGGGGAGTTGACTGGCAACCCTTCGATCACAGGCCCACCCTCTCTAACCTCTGCGCCATCACTCCCCCAATAAATCATAAATCATTGACTACTGTTGGTCTATAACAGTGAATATCTAATACACTAATAAGGTAACATTTTAACGTTCATTTGATTTCTGTAGATCTACTCAGGACCCTACACTTTGTGTTCTGTGACCCACGTTGGGGTCCCAACCCCTACTTTGGGAACCACTGGTGTCTATGCTCTGAAACTCCCCAAAGGAAGGCAGAGCTCGACTCTGATTTACACTATTTTCCCTGTCAACTTTTGCGTTTTTAGAGCAAATGATGTTGGTTTTATTGGCTCGTTTATTGCTAATGTAGGATCTCACTGAGCTGTTGGTGACTAGTTGATGAATTAGAACAGCAAAAAAAGGCAAAAATTTCAGATGCAGTTTTATTATATTCTAGGCATATGCCACCATAATATTAATAATGTGTTATGTATTATCATCAATGTATGTTCCCATACAATGCCAAAACTAGCTCTCTGCATTTAACCCATCCACCACTAGGTGGTGCAGTGGGTAGCTATTGAATCAGAATCAGAATAAACTTTATTATCATTGTACCGGCACTGTGATGGACTTGCGACCCGTCCAGGGTGTACCCCGCCCCTCGCACATTGATTGCTGGACATGGGCACCAGTGACCCCCGTGACCCAAAATGGAAGAAGCGGGTAAAAGATAATGGATGGATGGATCATTGTACTGAGATACAACAAGAATATGTCCGTACAGTCGTCCGAACGATGGGCGGCGTGCACGTAGCTGCTGCTGTGATAGGGCGGCCTTCTTATCCGTTACAGAATCCATTTTTTTAGATAGAAAAACAACGCTTTTCCTTAGTTTACACATTTCCCAGGAGAAATTGATAAGTCGGCCTATTTCGAGACCAACCAGGGAGTCAGATTCAGATAATCCACAACTGTTAATTTACTCAGGCAGACTATTTTTTCTTGCCAGCCTTGAGTCTTACTGATACTTCCAAGATCCGAAATGGCAAGATTAGGATGCATTCTACTGGTCCGTGCTTGCGGGCCTCTTCAAGGTCGTTTCATGCTGACGAGTCCCAAAGCCACAGGTGGCCTGAGATTCAAATCACTTCCAATTTACGCTTTAGCTCGTAAATCAGCTGATTTTGAGTCCTCAAAGCACAAACCAAACCTTCACATAGGCAGCAGCCTGACAAAGTCCATGTTAGCTGCAGCCATCTTCTTTGTATGTTGATAAACCAGGATCCAGCCTATTCCAAAAACAGGAAACCTGTTATCATAAATCCAACTATATGCAATGTGTGCATCCTCAATCGACAGCAGAGGTAGACACATCACATTCCACTTCCCCAGAGATATGTCCAGCTGCGCGTGTCGTCCGAGCAGATGATGTCGCTTTGTTGAAAAGTTTTTGTCATTTGCGTCGAAAGTCCAGTTGGTCAGATCCAAAGCAGTAGTTTTCATTTTGGAAGATGTGCAAAAATAGGAGCTCCTATGCACAGACAGAGCAACAAAGCAAGAGGAGAACAGGGAGAGAGAAGAGGAAGCGTGAGCTTCGTTCCAAAGCGAGTGAGGGGAAAAAAAAAAGGATCTGGGGAGCATTTGGAGATGATGTGTCCTGCTCAGAGACACCACGAGATGTGCAAAGACTGGGGATTGAACCTGGGACTTTCAGGTCACAAGTCAGCTGCCCTGCCCCTACACCATCTCTGCCTCATGCTGTGTAGCCAAGGTTTCACAAGTCCAATTTATAATATTCATCTTTAATTGTATCTTGGCCTCGCGTAGTATTTTATGACACACCTCGTACTTCCCTTGGCTCACTCAGTGCTCACCTTGGCAGCTGCCGGTGGGATTCTTGACATTACTCTTCGTGATTGCTGCGCCACAACTTCCGTCAAAAAGATGAAAAAGAAAATTAAAACTGCAAATGCAATAGAAGCAGGTTGACGAGAAATACATTTTCCATTAATGTCTAGTAACTGTTCTGGTTGCACATAATCCATAATTTGTATCTGAATCCAGACCAAAATGCATTACTGGATGTAATAAGCCCCGCCCTAAAACATCCCCCAACCCTAAAACTAGTCATAACCCTGAAAAATCACGTTTTACTCACAATTAAAGGGTAATTGAATGTGCTTTGTATATACATGTACACACACATCATATAAAGAGCAATGATGTTTGCATTGCTTTACACATACACCTCTATACGCCTTCACGTACACATTTTAATAAAGACAGCAATGGTTTTATGAATTATTAGACTGTAATATTTTAGTACGGTGCCTTTTTAGTGTTCTAATTTGTTCCATCACTGTAATCAGATGAATTCGTGTAATTTTTTTTCATGTTTCTTTTATGCATTTTCCAGTTAACTTTAAATAGGAAAATACCAGATTGGCTCTTTTGATACATAAGTGTGTGTTTGTGCAACTTGATGCCTTACGGAGCCTTCGAATGCTTTAACCATACACCACTGTGACCGATGAATGTCATCAGCTTCAATTGTGTTTTTTAAGTTTTGTTACATCCTTTAAGAAGCAAAATGTAAAGAAAATAAAAGTTTTGAATGTAGAATAAACTGTACAACACAGAGAAGGAAACAAGTCATGTAAATTTTAATGCAGATGTTTTCGTTGCATCTTTAAGAAACGAGATTACATTTCAAAATCCTGATCAACAACATAATGTAACTTACTGTATTTTTTGGACTATAAGGCGCACGTAAAATCCTTTAATTTTCTCAAAAATCAACAGTGAACCTTATAGTCCGAAAAATACGATATCAGCCAATGTGCAGAGCTGATTAACTGATCGTCCTAATTAAATAGAATAACGTCACAAAGGCTCAGGGGATTTTATCGCAACAAACACATGCATGTTCCGAAACATTATGGACTGTGAAGAGATTTCTTTTTTTATTATTAATGTTTACTGCTTTGTTGTGAAGTTGATCAAATTTGTATATTGGCACCTCTTTTTTACATAATGTAGCAGGAAATCTTCCATCAAATACAGAGCTTTATCAATAAACACTGAAATACAAAGTACAAAGAGCTACACATTTATTTTTGTTCAAATTAAAGTTTCTTTTGTGCAAACGGAATAAAATTGTGGCAGGTCTGTAAAGAAAATGTAAGAAATGAATTTCTCATTTTACCCATGTCACCTTAAACTCGTTTTAGTTAACACAGGAAAGAGATTTTGACATTTTTGTTGCTTTCAGTGTAATTACTATGATAGTTGTTATTTTAACTCGTTTGTCTCACTGTACTGAAATGTTTTTGTCCAGATGCATAGAAAACAATTAAGTGCCACTTTGAAAAAGGGATAGTTTGATACTGTTTTCTATTAAATGTGCCGTATTTGCATTACCGTGTTTTCATGTTCCATCAAAACACTGCATAGATACGGCAGGGAACACAGATGTTTCATCACAGCTGTGATAGGAAAACAGCTGGGAATGTGACCGCACCGTGAAATAAATTATCGGTTCACTTGGGCCAAAGCTGCAGATGTTATGGGCATATCTGTAAGCCAGTTTAAAAAGATCATTCCAGAAAAAGCAATGGTTATATAAATGTTGATGTTTGTATTTCAGCACTATGAGTGTGTGGGGATAAATTGTTTAAACACTATGTTGTATTTTGTTGTAATATTGTCATTAAAGGTTTTGAGCACAACTGAATAAGACCTATTTATTCATTTTTTTTTCAATGACAAACTTTGTCAAAATTGTGTTTTAGACGCGTCAAAACAAACGATTTTAACCATAATTAAATTAAAACAGCAATAATAAAAAGGAACAAAAAGAAAAAGTAATGTAACTTGAACTAAAAAAAAAAATAAGTGTAAGTACGCTCAATCATCCAGGTAAATAAAACACATAAAAGTTAAATCGCGTTATCTGAACACGATTTAACATTTTTGTAACTTAAAATAATGTTAAATCGTGTTATCTGAACAAGATTTAACATTTTTGTAACTTAAAATAATGTTTCATTGTAAAATGATGAGGTCCCACCGAGATTTGAACTCGGATCGCTGGATTCAA